TCAAACTGTAAGATAGTAAGAGCAGCAGGCTTCAGGGTTGACATCTGGACTGCCTTATCAGATGATGAAACCATTCCTGAAAACACCTCATAACATATGCTGTGCTTCTCTAGGGAGGACTCTTGTAGGAAGAATGCTTATTAAGAATAAAGGGCAAACATGCTAACTTCCTACTTGAACTAATATCAATATAGTAATTTAGTAACCAGAGCTCCATAGTAACGGGAAATGTAGTTCCCTCTCATTCTGCCATTAATTCCATTCCATAAAGATAGTTTTCAAGGAGTAGTTTGAAAATCAGTCAGATGAGCTCAAGGACAGAAATCAGCTGATCAAGAAATATAAAAATGAAGACTGATAAGATGTAAAAGAATATGCATGCACTCCAGAGACAGATAATGCTTAGGCATCTGTTCAAGTCTGAAGCAGCAGGCTATTCCTAAGCTTCTTCACAGAGAAAAGATTAAGATAAATGTGTGGAGACATTTTTAAAACTCTTGTCTTCTTTCAGTATGATTTATTCCAGCTGGTAGGAGTGAAATATCATTTGGTGATGAGGAAATGTTCATTGTGCTTTTATTACTGCTTACAAGGAAATGGAAAAATAGTTGATACTAAATGCTTTGACAGCTGAAACCAGCACAAGGGATTGACTTACGAAAAGTAGGATAGCAAAATTCTGCTGAAGGGAGGAAAAAGCAGAATGTCCTAATGTACAGAATGTGGTACAAGTAAAGGTGAATCTAGCTCTTTAAAATGATAATCCATGATTTAGTATTAGTGATTAGGGCAGTTTAATGTATATTTACACAATATTCAGTGATACTCCAGACAGGTCAGTATAAGAAGCATAAGAGCTCGTTAGTAGACCTTTTTATCCAGGGTAGTTTATCTGCTTCACTGCTGATCCATAAAGGTGAAGCATCATGTTAAGGCAAGTGTACCTCTTCCAGTTATGATGATAGGTCACTTAAAAGTGCTTTATGACATACAGACCTGTTCACAGCAAACAGACCTTACTGCACAGAGAAATACTTCAATGTGCAAGGAATAACTTGAAATGCAGTAAATCTGATGGAAAATGACTGAATAAAAACATTTAAGGACTTCATCCTCCAACCTGCGTTTTCAGAAAAGATTCATGAAGACATGCGTGTTTCAAACCACACATATTGAAAGACCTATGCAAATCAAACATATTTAACATTTTTTAAAAATATTAAACTGATTTGCTTCATATTGCCTAGGAGAACGGGAAGTATCCTCAAGTTACCAATACATTGATTTTTCAGAGACCAAAAATGGCAGTTTCATACACATAGACTAATGGAAAAGGGAAAATATGCGTCTACAAAGTTGGTATACAACACTGTGAGAAACCAGCATGTTTCTCAGAAATGAAGCAATGGATTGCACCAACAGACAGAAATGAAATGAAATTCCAGTAATCAAGATTTTTCATTACATAGATCAGAAAACATTGTGTGCTCGACAGAAGACAAAAAGGAGTTGGTGCACTTTATTCCAGTCTTCGTTCCTTTAATCACATGTAAACTGCGAATTTAACTGGAATTCTAAATCAAAGAAACAAGTAAAGGCAGAGGCATAGAGTGAAGATACTGGAATTGGAAAGTTACAAGACTTTAGATGACAGAAGGCACTGCTAACAGTGACACAGAGACACTGCTAGCTAACATCAGAAACAGATCTATTACTGTTGCCAGAAGAGAAAAAAAAATGCTATATGACTTTCTCAGTTCACAGAAAAGCAACAGGCTTAGTGTCAAGCAGATTGGGTTTATCTATCAGTCATCAGCCTGTATGACAAAGAAAGGAACTTTCAGAGACCACCATAACTACTTAGAATCAACAAACAGAACAAACAAGATTGAGGTTTCCATATATATGAAAGAATCACTGCCTACTATAATTCCCCACACAGAATGACAGCTAAAAAAACAGCACAGAACACATATATGTTCATTCACATGTTCATTTTTGCATCACAATGCAAAAACTGTAATGCCTACATAAATAGATGACTCATCATTTTGAGTGGGGACTACATGAGGAAAATGACATAGAAAAACCCTACAGCTAAAAGTTCCATCTCTCTCTTAGCTTTTTGTCTTGTTGTGTATGAAAAGATTAAAGCTTTTTATATATTCTTGTCAAATTGGAAGGAAAATCCAATGTTTCGACAAACAAAGGAAAAGACTAATGAAGATTTATGCTACTTTTTTCCCCACTTATGCCTAATATATTACTCTTTTCAGCAATTCTCTCTCAAAGATTCTTGAACCTTTTACCGATTTCTTCAACTTTCCCTGAATATGATCATATCACTAATTAATGGGTGAAATCCAAGTACCATAAAAAGAACTGTACTTTTCATTTTTCATTGTACTTATATTCCAACACTGTCTGGAAGACAATGGTAAAACAATAAAATCATGAAACATTTGACAGAAAATGGGAGGTTTAAATCTAAAAACAAATATTCTACACTGCATACTCTGATGTAATTACAAAACATCATATCATAAAAGACATACTAAGTACTGCTCCAAACAGAAGAACACATTATTATGAGACACAGTAATTATTATGGAACACTGGTAATCGAACATTCATTTTGGAAGGATTATTATGAAATAGAAATCCTCTTAGTAACAAACTCTAGGTGGAACCTATTAATTTGGTGACATACAGTCCAAGAGTTTCATGACACCAGGACTGAAAAATACATCATCAGCTGTGTAATACCTAATTTATAATCTGTACTGAAAATAGATAGTCAGCACTATACTGCAAAGTCCTCTTCACTACCACACTTCAATTAGCAGTATCTCCCTTTACTTTAATGATGGATGCATTTTGTGAATTCTGTTCGCAAAAGCCTCTTAATTTTGAATAATGTTCTTTTCTCTCTGTAGTATTCAGCAGAATTCATATTTAGCTTACGCCTGTTTCCCTATATGAACTATAGCATTAGAAAATGCTATTATATACTACTAATTCATTCCACATTATGAATAAAATTTGTAGATTGTCTTACATAATCTTAAATATTTTATTTCTAAATTTGATATCAATATTTGGTTAGGCAATTGTGTTATTAGAAATCTTAGATATGAAGGTTGATATAAACAGGCATTAAAAAAAAGGTATTTTATAAATCTCTACCAAAAAAAAACAAAACCCTCCTCTGATCAGTATAAAATATATTTCACCTTGCTTTACAATTAAGACAATGCTTCAAAAGTGTGTAAGGAATTTATGGTGCTCAACACAAAGACAAGTAAGTGGAAAAGGTTCAGCTATAGTGGTCTATTATGTAGTGTTTCTGTTTAAAAAGTTCTTCCCAGTTCTGCTAGTGAGATCAGGTGTCTGAATAGCTTAGTAAAAAAAAAGGCTTCAAGAACATATATCTTTCCTACAAAATATGAAAAGGCACATTTTCGAAGTAGGAACTCAGCCATGCGACTCTTACTAACATTACTGGAAGCTGTCTATCAAATGCATCATGTTGAAAAAGCCTTTCAGTGATAGCCATAGGTTTATAACTCTTGGACGTACATATAATTTTACATGAGGTGTTTCAAAAGATAATATTTGTGATTTATGCTCGACTCTGCTTTAAGAAGTATCTGTATCACAGGAACACCTCAGATATTAATTTTCTCACTGATTATATAGTCCACTAAAGTCTACTGTTCTTTCAAGAAACTTTCAATAAAAGTGGCTTTTTAAAGCAGACTTTTAAAGAAGGCACATAAGTGAAGTTACTAATTACAAAATATGTTTCAGTGTTATCTATAGTACTACAATATCTCATGTACAGGTGATCTTGCTAAATTGCTTTTAAACCTGTTTCTAAATATATTTCTTTCCCCTTAGTAGAGGAATGATACAATTCCTCCAAAATTAAGCAGATAGTATCAGGGAAGGATGGAGAGCTCTGCTATCAACTACAGCACAATAGGTAAAGAAAAACATGAAGTTATACTTTGTTCCACAGAATGAAATAATAAAAATCTTCAGGCTGAAGTGAGATTGAATTATCAAGTAAAATATAATAATAAGAAAAACTTGTTGATGATATTAAAGCCAATAATATTAATATGTGTTTGATTAAAAAAATATTTTAAATTGACTACTAGGACTACTACACCCCTGGGAACTGCTGATTTACTGTTCTGATTTTTTTGTTTTGTTTTTTTTTTTGCTGTCACAGCAAAAGTAAAATTTACATCATGTAAGACTATTTCTGGGAGCATCTGGAGTCAGTCTTAATTACTTAAAAAGGAAAAGGTAAATATAATGGGAATTTTTGACAAAAGATGTTTTTCTCCTTCTCTAAAGAGAGCCCTATATATTAAACAAATTTAGAATTTAACAATTGTTGTACAGAGTTTCTTAACTCCAAAAGCTCAACTAAATATGCTTCCAAATAGTCTCAGATTTTCAACTATGTGAAGTATCTCAGGGATTTTTTATAGCGCACAGGTAAAAACTAAATAGGCTTACCTTCCTTCTAAGATACTAATCTACATTAAGTGACTTGTTTTATAATAGGCAGAGGCCCAGTTTTGACCTCTAGGATTAACATGAGCAGCTAAGTACTCAATTTGAGATTAAGCAGCATAGCATCAAATGAAATCAGGCTAACAAAATAAAATATGTCAACCTCTGTCTTTTTGAACACAGCATAATTAGGAAAAGACATTTTTGTAAACTTTCTAGTGTCTCTAAATTTATAAATAAAAGGAGAACGCTTCCTAGCATACTTAGGACGTAGCGATATAAGAAACTGGAGACTTAGTATGGTGGTGGAGAAAATTAGTAGTGAAAACCCTCATCATTAATTATTCTTCTTTACATCATGAAGTTAAAATATAAGAGTATGAAAGTAAGAAAATTTTTGTGACTTTTGACAATTATTAGTAAGAAAAAGATTATAACAATTGCCAAAAAAATCACAAAAGTTGACATGTTACCTGGCTATGACAAAGAGCACACAACTGACACCCAAGTAAGCCAGCAGAATATACATCCAGATATCAGGGGAGAGAGGATTCAGGAAGGAGAAGACGCCGGGGTTTGTACCATTGGGCTTGCGGTACAAAATACTTATTCCAAGAGTCATAAAAGGCTTGGAAAAGTCGATGACCTTCTCTCGAACATAGGTAATTGCCAGTGGTGCAACTGCAAGGTCAGCTTTCTGTTAACAGAAATACAAAAAGAGAAACAAGCTATAAGTCAGAAGAAACATGTTGAAGCAGGCAATCAGATTAGGCAATACACAAGCTTCGTATGGAAGAAATTTTTTCTTGTACTAGGTAGACTGAAATGTAAAACTCTTCTCCTTATAATTAAGGAAACAGTTACTCTGCTTCCTGTTTGTTAAACTGACATAACACAGAATATTTAAAGCATCATTACAGGGGTAGAAGTGAAGAAAAATACCACTTCCTGCAGAAAATATGAATATCCACTATCCTATCTTCTAAAATTTTTTAAAATGTACATATCAACATATGTCTTCCCTCTGTCATTTCTTCACTGTGCTCTTTAGAAGCTAACACATTTGTGAAGCCCATGTGTATATGCTTATACAAGTGCAGGGAAAGGGACAGGAAGCAGTTTTCTTATTGAAGAACTTTTAAAAATGGGAAGCGTTACACCTGAAGGGTTGCTTCAAGGAGTAAGTTCTAACAGAGTACAGCTGTCCTTACTAGTTTACAGAAATCACTATGAAACATTTAGATAACTACAGCTGTCCTTACTAGTTTACAGAAATCACTATGAAACATTTAGATAACTATCAATTGTAACATTTAAAATTAAATCATACAATATGATACAAATGTATTTCGTCAATTTACATTTAGTTATTGTTATAGCAATAACTCATAGGAGGTTAGTAAATGATCTATAGTATTTTTTATTTAAAAGCTAATGGAAATCATAGTGAAAAGGAATCTACAGCATCTACTTCTTAATCTCTGTCAACAGGTCTTGAAAGACTACTCTTCATATGTCTGTGTTTAGTTCTGTGCATATGTACATGTCCACAGATGAAAGAGGGGAGTTCAGAGTGAGAAATTATACAGTATAAGATTTGGCAAGTTGTAAACTAAGAATTCCTTGTAAAATATATGTAAATGTAGGTATGTAATGACAGAAATGGTACAAGTACCATAAAATACTTTTATCCATATAACATAGCTGCAAATAACACCATTTTCAGAATACCTGTTCTAAACCAAGATACAAATATTTTATTACCTATAAAACCATATAAATTCATATATTTATATACTTTATTTTGCTTAGTTGATATTGTGTAGACTGTGTAGCATTCACAATCCCACACTATATTCTAGTATGTCAAAGTTCTGCTACGGTCTATTCTTGTTATGAGAATTTAACATATCATTAGACCTACCCTAGTAAAATACTTCTATGCTACACTGTGAAACTCTCTTGGTGTTGTTAATTTAATTCGGTAAGGGTTTGCTGGTCAAAAACATGACATATGCTTAATTTCCATTGGTATTCAGAACTTTTAGGTATTTATCAGACAGCAAAGCTTTATTCCACAGCAGAGGAGTTTTTATGGATTGCATACTATTAATGATATTCCAACTGATGCAGAAAGAAAAGACTAAAGTAAGAAACTAAAACTAATTTGGATTAAAAGTCATAGGTCAACATGTAGAAGTTGGAGAAACATAACAACTCAAGTTAGTAGTAGTTTGTGAGGCAACTAACAGTCTTACCATAAGAATCTGAAGCTAAGTCACTAAAGGCTGTCAGAAGATTCAACTTCACAAAGATAGAGAAAGCAGATGCAGACCTTTTGGAATTCTATTGGCAGTTGTAAATTTTGGTGTTAAAACATTCAGAGAGCCTTAATGCATATCAGGCCCTTCCTTTTAACAAATACAATTAGAAATCCAACCCTTGGATACATCTGAATGTTGTTTGCATCTGCAGTGGAGTAAAGCTCTAGGGAAGTTCTTAGAACTTTCAGATGGAATTAGAAAAATAACCAAATAAGAAATAATGCATGTGTCATGACAGAACAGGACAATCAGATATTCCAGCCTAGGAGACAGAGATCCAAAATACAGGTCTACGTCTTAGTATCGCAAGATTTTCTTCAGAGCTTTTGTAAGTCTGTTTCTATATACTCGAACTAGTATATCACCATATGAACAACAACAACAGAAAAAAAAAAGCCTTTACTGATTGAGGAAACAAAGATCTGCTAGAATTACTGACATAAAAATGTAATACTTCTACATGTGGCCATTTTTGCTAATATCTGTTATCTCCAAAATGTTCAATCCTTTTGGCAATGGATTCATTTCGAAACAGCACTACTTGAAAGTAAGTGAAATAAGAGGCTAAGTTTCCTGAAGTGCAATGCCAGGTCTCCTACACTCTTCTACAATGAAGTACGAGTAAGAGAATTCTCTTTTGGTAATTTGTCAGAATGATTTGGAGAGGAATGGTGTAAAACTAGGATTTTATCAATCTACATTTATTATCATTAACAAATGATTACATCCTAAAATGGCTTTCTGATAAGTTCCATAACAAACAACATTTGTCTCACTTGACAATGATACATTATTCCACTTTTTAGAATGCATGTATGCATGACTTTAAAGGAAAAAGTTTATCTATCTGAAAGCATAATCCTAAACAGCACTTACTCTTGACCTTAGAGTACTTGAGACAAAGGCCTTTTTATGACAGCATCCGAGGACTGTTGAGGATAAACTAGTTGCTACAGAGAAAAATTCTGCACCCACTAAAGGTTACAATAGCACTTAGAAACAAGTCTGACAAGGACATTTCAACAGAAAGCACAGTCCTGAGCAAAATGGAAGAGTTGTACAGCAACAGAAACAGTAGCCATATCATGTGATGAAGGAGCGCACTGCAGACAATAATGCCAACACTAAATGGCAGAGACTGGAGAAAAATACTCCTCACAATAAATTCTTACTTTAATTATGTCATGTGTGAGGAAATCACAATCCAGCATTTACTCCACCATTCAAAGATACGGCATGATAAAATGGAGAATGGCACTCACATTCTGCATCGATCTTGACAGTTTTTCAAAGAGAGGTTCTCTAGCAAGAAAGAATTTCCAGGACAAGAGGGAGGAAGAAACAGAATTTATCATACTCTACAGGACACTCTCCAAAGTCAACTGAACCACTGACAGTTGTTCCCACCCTGCTGTCTCAAAAATCACCAGATAGTTTGAACATCATTTTTAACAATAAATTCTCAATAGCACTTTATTTTCTATCTTCATACCCCACCAGGGTAATGATATTTTCTCCCTTCATTCTAGCATATGCACTCTGAGTACATTACTGAATTACTCTGTGAATAGTGATTGCCAGTCCTTCCTTTCTTTTTGTGCCATGTAAGAACTGCACATACTCTCTCCACAGCTGTGTAAGAGTTTCCTTGTCCTGCTACCACATGCAGTCGTAGGATGTTCACCCATGAGCAGACAACTCAAGGTATACACAGTATCTACAGAATCACCTAAGGCACAGTAAAATCCTCCTGCTTTGGTTCTTCATTTACATTTTGCTTCCAAGCAGCTAGTTGACTATTTTTGACAAAATAACATTTAAAGAAAAAAGGGAGAACTTTTTTTTCAGTTCCACAGAGCTGAAACTTGATATACAACCTCTAAGAAAACAATTTTTAAAATTACACTGAATTATATCTATGCATGCAGATACAAATAACATCAGTAAGAAATCTGCATATAAATGTTGAGTAACGCATGGGCCATAGCATGTGCAGTAAGTTAGTATTTATAGATATTGATATTTTTTATGTGAAAATTAACTCTATAAAATATGACCCTGGGAAAGTGCCACATTAATTTTTTTGCAGAAATTGAACTTTGAAAGCATTTAATAACTTCTACTAATAATGTTGGGGAAAAGAAGAACAAATGCTGATTGAATTTTCTTTTGATCTTTTTCTGAAAAACTTCTGTTTCACCTGTTTTATTCAAAGGAATTAAGAGTTTAAATACAATCTAGACATAGCAATCACAAAATGGCTAATAGTTATTTTTAGTTAGACTCTACAACTACAGAATATTTCACCATAATAATGAAGCTCTTTAGCCTATGTAAACGGACTTTCCTGGTGAGAATTTACTGATAACATTTTGCATTGATTTAGAAACCATATATATTTATATTGAAAATGCAGGGGAAATCATACAGCTATATCTATTCTCAGTTGTTTATACAGTCAGTCAGTACAATCACATTGTGATTACACAAGATAAACAAAAGTATACCCTGAAAATACATTTTAGTAATTTTACTTCTATACAGGCAGCAATGCACCTACTGCCTGTAACTATTTTTTAAAATAAAGGAAGATACTTTTCTAAAAGGAAAACTTCATAAGGCTTCTTTTTAGTCCACTGTGTCTGCTCTTCAGCCTCAGGTCCAAAGTCAGTATATAAACTTCTTCAGCCACCTCATATTTTTGGACTGTTAACCTGAGACCTGAATTTCAGTTACATTTCCATTGGAAAAATGCATTCCTAAGCTAAACAGAGGAAGGCTAATGCCCAGATTCTATTCTATAAATGCATTCAAAAGGGCTTTTAATATACAGAGAGCTTATGCATTATTCCTGTTTACAGAAGTGTATTTCCTTGCCATTCATTTGAAAAACTAAGATCTGCAGTTAGCCTTTAAACCTGTGATCTATTCTACACTGCCTTCCTCATCCTGCTGCATTAAACTTCATACACGGTGAAAAGGTTTTGGTCTTGACACAAGATATTAATTCCTTTTTGAAACTACTAGGACTCTATTAGGGCTTTATAGATATTTCTTATTTTAACCAGCTACTAACTTTATTTTGGTATAAATTGTTTTTCATGTTTTTCTGCTACCTTTCACAATTTAGGGAGAAGAGACATCATGAGATCTCTAGTCCAATCTCCTGCTCAAAGCGTCTACATTGATCAGACCAGGTTGCTTTATCCAGTTAGTTTTGAAAAACTCCAAGGATGGAGACAACATAACCTCTCTGGATAACCTATTCCACTGCTTGTCTGTCTACATAGTGAAAAAGTTTCTACAGACACAAAGTGGAGCAGGTTGTTAAAAGATGTTGGCAATTTCCAACATGGGATGTTTTCAGTTTTCA